TACTAGTATATTAGCATTTAATTTAAGTTCAAGAATGCATATACTATTGACCTATGCTGGGTATTGCCGTGAGCAATGCATGTCATTGTTGTGCATGCGTATGCTAATCACCGTCCATCATTAGTCTATGTTTAAGTAAGTGTTAATAGCAAGTTTACTTAAGTCATGCCTAACGCTCTAGCCTTGCCGTGAGTTACTCCAAGTTAAGAAATATTGTGCAAGTTGCTTGGACAACTCACCTACTTGCTTAGGCCACATGGCACTCTACTACTCAAAACTCAAGATGATTAAGCACAAGTTGTGCCACCAAGCTATGTAGTGAAGCCATGTGTAATCAAAGTCCACCTCATGCTTGTTTTGTATCCCACGCCAAATTATAAGTAATGGATTGGGAGAATTGGCATTTCACCTTATGTAACCGAGCAAAAACCGAAGCCATAGTGAAGAGTGGAAGGTACAACCGAATATAAATAATTAATAAGCAAGCGTAGTCAAGAATTAACTTGTAATTAGCCATAGCCAAGGAAAAACCAAAGGGAGCTCACGCACGTCAAGTAACCGGGAGTAAATCACACGCAAGTCGTAGCAATGTTCATGAGCAAAACTAAAGGATTGATCAGCAGCAGCACTTACACTATCAGATTAGCAGTTCAGGTGGGGACTCAGACTGGGTATTACATTGATTATAATTACTCTACCATGTTTAAGGTATGTATATGAGATATCCACTTTGGGTGGAGGCGCAAGGCCTTAATTGCCCATCCAAAGTTCTGGTGGAGGCGCAAGGCCTTAAGTATCCATCAGAGTGTGCACATGGCGGACATAGTGTCCGAGACAGTTCAGTTCAGTGATATTGATATTATTATTGATGTTTACTTTAGTATGAGTTTCTGCGGAGCACAGTGGCTTTCAGTGCTCACGCTCCCACTATTACTATCTTTTTCAGGTGACAGGGTCGGTCCAGAGGAGTGAGCGGAGTAGGTGGTCGATGGTCCACTACATATGCTTTTGCAGACTTATGATATGTATATTATTTGCCACGCTTTTACTTCCGCTGACGTTTTCAGACTCTCAAACTCGCATGTCAGTTTTAAGATTTTGATCCGAACTTTCTGGTCGGATTATACAGTATCACATGCTGGTTTGATAAAAGATAATCCGTTTTTCTAAATGATTTTAGTTTAACTAAATCAACGGATGTTTAGAAAAAGAAATGTTTTCTGTAGCATCCCAAATCATGTTTTTCGCAAACTAACACGTACTTTTAGAAAAGAATTTGCGAAAATCGCACTCTGATATTTATGGAAAAGCGGGGTGTTACAAATTGGTATCAGAGCACGTTTTTGTGTGTCTGAATACTTCAGTAAGACAGAAAACTTTTCAGAAAACCCGACCACGCCACGCTCACGCCTCGCCGACTAACAGGAAGTGCT